ATTTTATAAGTTTTTACGAGATTTGAGACGTGGTCCCCACTATCAATTTTTAAAGTGAATTTCGGATTTTATCCGGAAAATTAGTTAATTCATATGGAATTAAGTCCTACGATTTGTATTGAGTATATCGAATTATTTGTGAATAGATTTGAAGCTTTTGGAGTCAAATTTAAAAGGAAAAGTTGTGGTCGAGTAATTGATTAAAATTGCAAAGCGAGGTAAATATCGTGGTTAACCTTGACTTGAGGGAATAGAACCCTTAAATTATTTGTTATGTGAAATGCATCTGAACGACGTATAGGCGAGGTGATGAGTGTCTATACGTCGTCAAATTAATTATTGCATAATTATTTAAAAATCCTATTTTTTTTAATATATGTATTAATTATTATGATAATTGTTACATGCTTATTTGATTTATGTGCTTTAATTGCTACTTGACATTTAGCATATTAAATATTAAACTACCTATTTTCTCCCTGATTTTCATAATAAATTGTTATTTGTCATTGTTTGTTTTATAATTAAATCATAATTATTGTATGCTTGTTTTGTTATAATTTTATATTAATTATTATATTTATTGTGCAATTTCTTCTATAGGAATTGGTAAATGAATATATTGGAGGAGCGGGTTGCACGCCGCAACAGAATTAATTGAAATGAATATATTGGAGGAGCGGGTTGCACGCCGCAGCAGAATTGATTGAAATGAATTTATTGGGGGATCGAGTTGCACGCCGCAACAGACTTGTTTAAAAGTCTATATATATTGGGTTATCGGGTTACACGCCGTAACAGACTTATTAAAAGTTCATATATTGGAGAAGCGGTTGCACGCCGCAACAGAAATGAATATGAATATATTATGGGAGCGGGTTGAACGCTGCAACGAAAATTGATTAAAATAATAATTGGTTATGACTGTTGAGTTGGCTTCAACTATTAAAATTAGTTACCTGATTTATTTATATTATTGTGGTTATTACTATTATTGCGTACAGGTTAATGTAAGTTATCCGCCTTAGCCTCATCACTACGTCGTCGAGGTTAGGCTCGGCACTTACCAGTACATGGGGTCGGTTGTACTGATATTACACTCTGCACTTCTTGTGCAGATTTCGGAGTTGGTCCCAACGGCGTACCATAGACTTGCTCGGATTTCAACTATTCATAGGAGACTTGAGGGATAACTGCACAATGTCCGCAGTTCTGAAGTCCCCGTCTATATTATTTTAGCTGTGTAATTGCTTTCAGACAGCTTTATTTTATTCAGACCTTTATTTGTATTATTCTAGAAGCTCGTGCACTTGTGACACCAATTCTGGTAGGGTATTTAGGCACCATTATTTTTATGGATTATTCATTACATTTCAGACCATACTTTCGCATTTATTCTTTGTTATTAATAAATTTAAAAATTGTTTTAAATGGCTAATATTATTCTAACGTTGGCTTGCCTAGCAAGTGAAATGTTAGGCGCCATCACGGTTCAAAGGTGGAAATTTTGGGTCATGATAGGTTCGTGCCGTTCGACCCTCGGCAGTGCACAATTTAAATATTATGTTTGATCGGGCCGTACGACCTCACCATAACTTGCGCATGATGAATCTTTGGAACTATTCATAATTGATATTGCTTAAAGGTCATGAAATACCAACTGTTAATTGATGAAACTAAACTTGGGATTTAATATTTGTGAAAGAAGACTTTATTATTTTCTCGTTATTGAATTTTCAATATTATTCATGAAATCCAAGCTTAGTATAAAATATTGATATATCATTGTTAGCCCATAGTAAGTGTCAAAGTCGACATCTCGGCACTACTTCTTCGAGGTTAGACTGGATACTTACTGGGTACATATTGTTTATGTACTCACGCTATACTTCTGCACTTAATTATGCAGGATCTGAGGCAGGTACATCTGGTTACCAGTACGACGCGCATATTTGATTCCCTCTACGAGACCACACGGTGATTTGCCCTTCCGAGCCGTTCCGCAGTAGCCAGAGTCTTTCTTTTGTATATTTGTTCTGTCTATTCCATTTCAGACAGTAGATTAGAAATTTTTTGTATATTCTATTAGTAGCCCATATTCTTGTGACACCAGGTCTTGACACACACTAGTAGACTTATAGTTTTGGGTTGTATTTTTACAGTTTTGATTTCATTTAGCTGCTTTCGTTTTGATCACTTTAAAAATCCGTTATTCCTTTAAATTCTTTAAATTAAGGAAAGTTGGTTGTTTGAAAAACTTAATAATAATGGAAATCACTAGATTGTTCACTGTAGGCTTGCCTAGCAATGGTGTTGGGCATCATCACGGCCTAAACTAGAATTGGGTCGTGACATAAATCATCTAATGGACCCAACTTGATTAACGTAAAGCTACTGTTTCTGTTCAACTTTAATTATATAAAATGAATAACAATTCAATATTGATTACACAAACTTAATAACAAAACTCAACATTGCACACCCATTAAAAGAAGAAGGCGAATCCAAGTAACAAAATATAAACCACTGAACCAGTGACAAGCAAATTACAAGAAGAATGGCTGAAAGAATTCATGAAGAAAAGATAAGAAACTGGCCTTTATGCTAAACAATTTGACGTTGAACACTGTAGAAATTCAACGACCAAAGAATTCTTGGACCGATGCCTCTAAACTAAACCTCGCCGGCAACCTCGAACCTCCACCTACTCGACCAAAATTAGCCATTGACTGCTCAAACAACTCCTGTTTTAACAAAATACTACAACCTTGGGAACCAAGAAGCTTTGGGTAAAGAACATTGATGGTGTTGAAGTGCAGTAAGGTTGTTTGTTAAAAGGTTTCAGCAAGAAAATATGAGGGTGTTTTGGTGGTGAAAAGCTGGTGTTTCAGGGGTGGTTTCACCTGCATTTTTGAGTGATTTGGGGATGTTTCAGGCCAGTTTTGGCTGCTTTTCATGGCTGGACTTCGAAGCTATTTTAATGGATATTCAAGGGCAGTTTTGAGGTGGTTTTCATGGGTGATGGTGGCTGAATTTGCAGCTCGTTTTTGGAGCTGTTTTGAGGTCACTTTCTGGGGTGGATTTGAGCTCGTTTGGGAATATTTTTGCCGGTGATTGGGTAGAGCTGAGCAGCATTTTTCAGCTGCTATTTCAGGTTGTTTTGAGGGTTGTTTTGTATGCAAAACATGAGGTTTTGTAGCTGAAATGAGGGTGCTTTGGAGGTGGGTTTTTGGGACTATTTTTGTGGCTGAAAGTGATAGAAGATTTGCTAGGTTTTGATCGCATTTTTATGCTAAATGGAGTTGTTTAATGGAGAAAAATGGGAGGAATTGTAGCTGTTGCGTTCTTTTCTTCAAGAGGAGACTGCGGCGCTAAAACTTGAGGAAGAAGAGATGGCTCCTAGTGTGCCAATAATATAAAATGTGAGAATGAATTCTCATAGGGATTGAAAAGTGAATGGAAAGAATTTACCGAACACTTGTTGTTTTTGTACGTGTCAAAAAATCATGCCACACACGTACGTACCCATGATTTAACATGTTTATTATTATTTAAAATTGAGAGGCCATGTCACTTAAACGTGCAATTGAATTTTTCTGAGTTACGTGTCACAGTTATGCCATGAGAACCGTACCAATAACCGTAATAATTAAATTATTATTTATGATCACTTTCCTAAACTTCTAGATTATTGTAAGGTCAAGAGTTATACAGTGAATTTGTGGAGAAGGATGTATGATTGTGATGTAATTGGGCTTGACAGAATTTATTATTTGCCCAAACTAATTCAAATCAATACTTTATGTATTAAAGGTCTGTCACTTTTCAATTCCACAGTCACTAGCCTAATGGCCCACTAATTTTCATCTACAATCCATTTCTAGCTTCGCTCTCCTTCAAAAATTAAGTATAACAACAATTTTTAAAGAGAACTTTTAACAAGAAACTTAAACAAATGCATTAGATTAAGGAAAAAAGGCACTGACATAATATTCATCATTGATAAATCATCTAATGGGCCCAACTTGATTAACGTAAAGCTATTGTTTCTATTCAATTTCAATTATCTGAACTTAATAACAATTCAACATTGATTACACAAACTTAATAACAAAGCTCAGCATTGAACGCCCATTAACAAGAAGACGGCAAATCCAAGTAACAAAATATAAACTACTGAACCAGTGACAAGCAAATTACAAGAAGAATGGCCGAAATAATTCAAGAAGAAAAGATAAGAAACTGGCCTTTATGCTAAACAATTTGACGTAGAACACTGTAGAAATTCAACGACCAAAGAATCCTTGGACCGGAGCCTCTAAACTAAACCTCGCCGGCAACCTCGAACCTCCACCTACTCGACCAGAAAAAGCCATTGACTGCTCAAACATCTCCCGTTTTACCAAAATACTACAACCTTGGGAACCAAGAAGCTTTGGGTAAAACATTTTGATGGTGTTGAAGTGCAGTAAGATTGTTTGTTAAAAGGTTTCAGCGAGAAAATATGAGGGTGTCACTACAAGAAAAATCGCCTTTAGGGGCGAGAATAATGGTCCCTCAAAGTCTGATTCTGATTCTTAAATATTATTAGCGACCAGAAATATCTGGTCGTCCGTCCCTGTTCGCTATAGGCTTTGATTTAGTAACGATGAGATTTAGTGACAGGTCTTTAAAAACTTTTAAGGACTGGTGTGATTCTGGTCCTTAATATACTTTCAGGGACCACATTTCTGGTCCCTAAAGAATGATAAAAAAAGAACGTTGGATGCTGCATCTGGTGCCAATTAATTTGCTACGAGCAGATTTTACTGGTCCTAATAAGACTTTAAGGATGAAAATATCTGGTCCTTAAAGATCTTATGAAATGTGGTCCCTGAACAAATATATTTTGTGTCCTGCTTTTCTGAAATATTATTCCATTCCTAATGTATATAATGAATGCATATAAACAAACTTATCAATAATGTTTTCATATATATACTTGTAATAATTACAAAAGAAAGGATTAACATTCCATTTGTACTGTATTATTTAGACACCCCTCGGAAAGAAAATAAATTAATATCACTTGCAAATAAAATGAATTGTTGTCTATAGTTCTGGGCAAATGATAATTATGTTGTCAACTTGAAGTCTCCAAAATATACATCTTCACTTGTAAATTGATGTCTTCAAGACCTGTGAGAAGTATGAAATGAATTCACTTAAAAAACTATAATAATCAACCAGAAACATTGGTAACTAATTGCGAGACGTAGATTATTTCATAAACTAATTGCAATATAACAATGTTTTGGTCATATAAGAAACTTGCATGATGAAAGAAAACACAAAAATGGCCATGTCTGCAACTAAAACACTATAAGAGACACTCAAAAAATGAATTTGTTTCATCAATGACAAGGAGCACTACATCTTATTATGTACAAATAGGTTCATAGGCTTAGAGGTAGACGAACACATAATTATTTACCATATTACACCCCAAATTGTAAGTGCCACGTAACCTAAGAAACAAAGATTAAGTTCAACATTAGCGTTAGCGAGAATCATCCAAAGTCTCTAATGTTGCGTTAATAAGAGTCAACCCTCATTATTTAATACATATAAATATAGGATGCAAGTTATAGGATCTAATAACATTATATTATATAAACTACTAACAAATAAATTGCACTTTTAAAGCACATTTTCTTCCAGAGAATATCTGGCTCAGAAATGTTTACGAAAAAATTCTAAATTAGTGCCTTGTAACTTTTTCACTATCATAATCATATTTTGGGTTCTTCTACAAATAAGAAACTGTGAGGGGTCCATGTTCCTATCAGTTCAATGTAGCAAATTTTCATATCACTCAAACACAGATCAGGGTAAATCTACTGATGCAAAAATAAAAAAAATAAACTATTGACAATTATCCTACATTTGAACCTAAAACTTGGTGTCCTTGCAATTAGCCATTAACTTGTGAGAAAATAATTACAATTCCATAATGCTAAATGCACATGCACATAGATATGTTTTTGACAAGTAAAAGAAACATAATTTTTACAAGAATAGTGAAAGAAATTTCTGGACCTGCTGTCTAACTCTCTCAAGTTTCAGCTCAAATTGTGCCAACTTCAAATGGCATTGTTTCCAACTATCGAACTTACTCCTGGAAAGAGAAGGAAAACGAATCAACAAAAGGAACTTATCTTCCATATAATTAAATTTTAAAAAGCAAAAATTCTTCTACCTTTTTCCTCATACGGCTTTCACACACGGAGCTTCGATTTTGCTGCTAAACACAAAAGTGAGAGATAAAGAGAAAGTGGCTTTGGGTGCACACCTTGTCAGGAATACTCTATTGGTTGATAATCCCATGTCAGAGGGTATAAATTGTTCATAAAAGTAAAAAGAGTACATAATCAGATGAGAGTATGAGATTTACTATATGAAAAGTTGCAGTGTTACAACAAAAATAAAATCATATTTGAGAACCTAAGAAATGCATCCCAACTGTTATAAGATTATATCATGAATATACATGCGAACTTCAGAGTCACATATGACACAGAGATGCAGAGAATAGAAGACTAAGGTTTTAACTAAATGGTTATGAAATGATATAGAGTGTAAGGTTGAGTTTCAGTCCAAAAATAAATTGTATTTGCATGAGTAGCAAAGACAAATTGAGAACCAGTAACGAAATCAGTAAACTTGGAAAAAGAGAATAAGAAAAAATTAAAAATTGATCCAGATTATAAGAAGAAAGTCTATCATTTCAACAGTGCAACACCCCTGACAAATGAACCACCCCCTTCATCAAAGATAACCTTAACAACCATTGCACCAAGATCAAATATCTTCATAAACTCTTATACAACCACAAGTACAATACCGATGCACTTATTCAAGTAACCTACTTATGGAGAAACCATAAACACGTCTCATCGCTTTCAAGGTGTTCAATTTTAATACCACATTTCGCTAACGTTTCAATATTTTATTTAAAATATGTCTTAGAACCATACAACAACATATTTAAAATTACTCATTTCAATCTATCACTTTCACAAAGGCTTTGTGCAGATGAATCTTTACTTTTTTTCTATAACTTCAATCCATCTACTACAGCACTGCTAGCAGCAAATAATTTTTCCACCACTTGAAATAGTCATTGTCTAATAAATTCACAAGTTTAATTTCTTTTAGCAAACATAACTATCACTCATATTTAAAAGAAGATACATGAACTTGATAATCACCGTAGACTAGCAAGCTCAGTTAAGCACCTCACCTAATATCAATTGGTAACAAAGTACAATAATCCTATTGAATAAAGCTTCCTTTTAGTACGTAAAGGAGTGGTTAGTAGCAATATCTGACCTCGGTATAATAATATTAAGAAGCGCACTATAAAATAAACACCCAATTTCAACAAGAATGTGCATAAAATGTATCCATCAACAAAATGAAGACCAACAATGAAAATAAATACCAAAAATCACTCACTGCGCCTATAAATGAAATGAAATAAAACCCATAAGAATTAATAGCAAAACCCAGCAAGTCTAAAATAGTGAGTGGAAGAAAGGAACACTAACCGATGATTGGAACACTTCATCTCTTAAGAAAGTCGTAAAGATAATCAAATCTTGCATTCAAGAAACAAAATTGTCAGCGCACATATACAAGCATAGCTGAAGCAGATAAAGAGAATAGGATTATGGGAAGCAAAACTTACGAATTTCAAGCTAATACTCCTAAAAGCACCTTGGACCACAATGAAACAATTCATTCCCATCTCATTGCGGAAGCTGAAGTGAATAACACGTGAGCTCTTCTTCTCAAAATGGCTCAGAGAGACGGCCTCGCCATAAAAACAACTTGTTGAATCACAAAATGCCAACTCAATCGCACCGATCCAACTTCAGTTGGTGTTGGAAAACATTACCCAAAATAACTCGACAAAATTGAATAATTTGTAGAATAGTCGTGAACAACTGATGATGGAAATCGTCACTTTGAACAATGAAATCAAGAATAGATTTTGATGAAACACCAGAACTAGTTGTCAAAGTGATAAAGATTTGGGGATTTTGAGAGAAACGTTGAGAGATTGAGAGTAAACTCTAGTTCCTAAATGACGACTTTGAGAATGTTTTTAAGTGTTTCTATTTTTTTATTTCTTTTTCTAGGTTTCTATCTCTTTATAATTATAAAAATCTTAAAATTTTAGAAGAAATTTTGGGCGGCACCTCAAGTCTCGCACTCCCGCTCTATTCTGCATATAGGGACGAGAATTTTATAATTATAGGGACGAGATTCAGTCGCGTCGTTATTTAATTTAGAATTAGGTACCATAAATAAAACTAGTCGCTATAAGTATATTTTTAGCGACCAGATTTCAGTCCCGCTGCTAAATGCTGGTCACTAATGAGCCTTTTTCTTGTAGTGTATTTTGGTGGTGAAAGCTGGTGCTTCAGGGGTGGTTTCGCCTGCGTTTTTGAGTGATTTTGGGGCTGTTTCGGGCCAATTTTGGCTGTTTTTCATGGCAGGACTTTGAAGCTATTTTAATGGAGATTCAAAAGCAGTTTTGGGGTGGTTTTCATGGGTGATGGTGGCGGATTTTCAGCTCGTTTTTGGAGCTGTTTTGAGGTCGTTTTTTGGGAGTGGATTTGAGCACGTTTGGAAATGTTTTTGCCTGTGATTGGCGTAGAGTTGAGCAGCATTTTTCAGCTGCTAGTTCAGGTTGTTTTGAGGGCTGTTTTATGTGCAAAACGTGAGGTTTTGGAGCTGAAATGGGGGTGCTTTGGAGGTAGGTTTTGGGGGCTGTTTTGAGGTGTTTTTGTGGCTGAAAGTGATGGATGATTAGATGGGTTTTGATCGTCATTTTATGCCAATTGGAGTTGTTTAATGGAGAAAAATGGGAGGAGTTGTGGCTGCTGGGTTCTTTTCTCCATGAGGAGACTGCGGCGCTAAAAATTGAGGAAGAAGAGATGGCTCCTAGTTTTCTTTAAAATGTCCCCCCTCCCTCAGAATATTTAATACTGAGTAGAGTGAGTGTTTGCTGTTACGTGAGAGGGAGTGCCAAAAATATAAAATGTGCGAATGAATTCTCACGAGGATTGAAAAGTGAATGGAAAGAATTTTTGGAAGGAAAATTTGGTGTAGATCCCAAAGTGTGAGATGTGAGTTGGATAAGAATTGTGAATTGGGAATAAGAAATACATGTGCATCTGCAAAATTTGTTACAATACCCAATTTTGTTTCTCCTTTCTTCTAATTAATTTTCTTTGATCTTTATTGATTAACAAGTATTAGTACCCGCACCATGTGTGGATATTATTAAGGAATATTAGTCACATCAAAGTATGATCTAATTTATTTAAGCACGTTGAATCATTCGTTTTAACAAAATTCTAATGATCATCTTATCTACCCTATAGTAATAGTTCAACATAATTAAATTAAAGACTCATATCATCATCAAATAACTTTTAGATGATACTCAAATATCACAATTATATAGGTTGTTTCAAATAATTTGAAAATATAAATTAATTTAAAATGAATAAGAAATACATTATAATTAAATGAATCCAAAAAATATTACAATTTTTAATTTTTTTTTTATGTGTAATTCATGATGAAAATCATAGAGTGGTTCATTTTTAAACACGTGTTTTATCTAAAAAGTCTCATATGAAATAGAGATTAGTCTTGACTTATAATAATGATAAAAGAAATTTAGAAAGTACTTTGACTCAGATGGAGTGAACAAATGGACATTTTTTTAAAAATTTTGCAATGGACAATTTTTTTTTTAGACAGTTTTTTTTAAAATTTTCGTTTTTTGTTAAACAACATTTAATATTTTATTTTATTATTTTATAGATATTTTAATTCAAAAACCGTCGCGACCAAATTTCTACTATAGGCCGTAATGGCGCCCAACGTTACCGCTACGCAAGCCAATAACGAACTAACCATGATTTTTTCTTTTAACAATTTAGAAATAGTTGATTTTTACTTATTGAATAGGTAAGAAGTGAAATTTCATAAAACGAGTATTAGACAATTTTAAGAGCAAATAAAGTGAAATAGCTAATCAAAATCAACAAGTGTCTACTAGACAAACTTTCAAGACTTGGTGTCACAAGTATATGAGCTACTAATAAAGTATACAAAAATGCTACACTATTGTCTGAAATGAAGTAGACAGGAAGTAAAAGTAGAAGAAAGACTTTGGGTGCTGCAGAACGGGCTCGGGAGGCAGCTCACCACAAAGTCTCGGGGGATCAGGAGTGCAAGTCGAGATGATACCCAGATGCTCCTTACTATGGTCTAACAATAAAATACTGAAGTTCTATATAAGCATGGGATATGTAAATGAAACTGAGAACTCAATAACAAGAACTAAACAAAAATAATTGCTTTACTGACAGTAAATATGTCTCGACTTGAAATTTTCACCTTCGGGACCGTGATGATGCCTAATATTTTACTTGCTAGGCAAGCCAACCTTAGAGGATTCTTAAGTCAACTTCAGTCAATTTTAACAATAGAAATAATTATGCTAAAAAGAAGCTAAAACTGAGTTTGCGAAATAACATAAAACTCGTAAGAACTGATACAATTCGGATCTGGTGTCACGATTCACAAACTTCTAAGAGTTACTACAACAAAGTATGAAAGAAAATATAATTATTCTGAAAGAAAGGAAACATTATAATAAAGAAACTAGGAAGGGACTTCAGGGTCTGTGAACGCCAGCAGATCTACCTTGGGTCTCCGACAAGCAAGTCCAACTGCTAACCTTACGATCAGCTAAGGGCGGTACCAAAATTTGCACAAGAAGTACAGAGTGTAGCATGAGTACAACCAACCCTATATACTCATAAGTGTTGGTCCTAACCACGACGAAGTAGTGACGAGTCTATGACAAAATACCTACTTAATAAACGTGTGTAGATAATGGTATACGAACAAAATAACAACAAACAAGAGCTAGACAAGTGGTATCGGGAGGGAGGCATGCTAGAGGGGATACAAGATGTGAGAATTTCAGCAGAAATGATAACCAGGACAATCATTATGCCTTTGACTAGTGAAAATAATTAAACACATTAAGAAAAAGTGCACGGCATCACCCTTCGTACTTTTACTCTCAACCTCACAATATAAATCAATAGAAACGGCACGGCATCACCCTTCGTGCATTAACTCTCATAACATAGCACGACATCACCCTTCGTGCATTAACACTCACAATATGGCACGGTATCACCCTTCATGCATTAACACTCACATACGATACGGAATCACCCTTCGTGCGTTAACACTCTCCCTCACCACATAACAATGGACAAGTAAAAACAAGGAGATAGGATCAATAAGTATAAGCCTTACTTCAACAACGGTTCCACAATACCAATCTCAACTCAGGATCAATAATCAATTATCCCCAAAGATCATAAACATGATAAGAGCAATCAATTTAAAAATTAACTAGTCTAAGCATGGATAATATGATCAAGGAAAGCAACAATTACAAAGAGCAAGTCTCACCCGCATGCTATAACTCGACAACAACGCATAAGTATTAGTCACCTCACATATACGTTGTACCCAACAGCTAAACATGTAGCACATAGACAAATAAGTCCTAATACCACGACCATACTCAAAGCTCAACCACAGCTTTGCCTTTCAAACAAGCCTCCGAACCAATAAAATCTAGCAAATTACCAACCAAACGATTCGAATTAAGCCTTAGGAAATACTCACGATTGCAAAGAATTCAATTTAGGTCATTATTGAAAAAGCCAACTAATGGGCCCGCTTGGTCCAAACCCAAAATTCGGACCAAAACTCGATTACCCATTCAGCCTCGAGCCCAGTTATGTAATTTGTTTTGGAATAAGACTTTAATTTGAGGTCTAAATCCCTATTTTACAAAAATATTAAGTAGTACCCAAACCCCCAATTTCCACCATGAAAACACAAGAATTTAGGTTGAAATCTTAGAAAAAGTAATGAATGACTGAAAGAAACTAGTTTAGGATCACATACCAATGATTTGGGGAAGAAAAGTTCTTTGAAAAATCACCTCTAGGGTTTTTGTGTTTGAAAATTTGAAGAATGAACCAAATATCCCGTCGAAGTCCCATCTTGATTAGTTGTAGATGTCACATTTGCGACTCGGGGTTCGCAAATGCGAAAAACCTATCGCAAATGCAAAGGTTTCACATTTCTGCTTTCATCGCATTTGCGATGAACTATTCGCAAATGAGAACACTGACCCTTCCGCAAATGCGACCGCTTGATCGCATTTTGTCACCACCCGATTTACACTCCGTATAACGTCGTGACAGCACCTAGTCTCCATAACTTGGTAAGCCTAACATTTACAGAATAATAAAATGCTAACATATTTTTAACAACTAGCTGTAACAGAACAACATAAGTAAATACCATGTCGCTTGGCCTGTATAATAACTAACTACTCGGTAATACACAATATGCCCAAAATCTGGAACATCATGAGTCACAAACTAACGAAAGAAAATAGTATCTCTATACTCCAGAATCTAACAAAAGGAAACACAGGAAATGTTTGACATGGGGAAGAGTAGAAAGGGACTTCGAGGTCTGCGGACGCGACAAATATACCTTGAAGTCTCCAAAGTTGTCTCGACTCACTGGTAATGCGGCTGATAAGAAGTACCTGAATCTGCACACGAAAAACATGTGCAGGGAAGGGCATGAGTACACCACAATGGTACTCAGTAAGTTCCAAGCCTAACCTCGGTCGAGTAGTGACGAGATCAGGTTAGGGCCCTACTGGTATATATATAATAAAAATAGGACAGAATGAAATATCGCGGTAAAATAAGGATTAAATTTTAACAAGAATGCAATCATAGAAAGGTAATAGCTCAATACACAGATATAACAACAGGTGATCTCCTGAGATACCGTCCCGTAGTCCCAAACGTAAATGTGGAGGGGAATCTCCCGGAATATCGTTCCGTAGTCCCAAAGTAAATGTGCAAGACAGGGGATCTCCTAGAATACCGATCCGTAAACCCAAAGTAAATATGCAAGGGGATCTCCCAAAACACCGATCTGTAGTCCCAAAGTAAATATGCAGCTCAAACAACGAAAATAACAGTTACAGTAAGAAAACCTATAGTTTAGACTAAGTTCAAGTCAAGGAAAAGCAGAAATTCACTAAACATGCTGCACAGAGTTCAGATAAACAATTAAGGGAAGTAGACATGCTATTCTAAGCTAACATGATACTACACATGCTGATATAATACAAATAGAAAGAAGAACAGGTTATTACTCAGTGGAAATTGGGTTTTTACAGCAATTAGCCCGTGTACTTACTCGTCACCTCACGTACACTGCGCTCACATATCAAAACACTACCAAATCCTAAGAGGAGTTCCCCCACACAAGGTTAGGCAAGCCACTTACCTCGAACCAAACTCAAATCAATCCATAACAATGCTCTTCCCACGAATACCCGACACTGAATGGCCCAAATCTAGCCAAAATCAATTACTTAACATAAATATGACTACAAAAAACTAATCTAGCTAATGAAATCAAAGCTAAAGCAAGAAATTGGCAAATCGCCCTAAAACGCCTCCCTAGGCCCACATCTCGGAATTAGGTAAAAGTCACAAAATATGAACACGCATTCACTCACGAGTTCACTCGTACCAAAATTACTCAAATACGATACTAAAATATCGATCTAAACCCCAAAATTCAGCCTAAGAACTTTTCTCAAACTTTCCCAATTTTCCACACCAAATCACTAATTTAATGATGAAATTAAGGACATAATCATGGAAATTAACCAAAACTAGGTAATAATAACTAAACCCAAACACCCACGTGAAAATCTCTCCAAAAATCGTCTAATTCCGAGCTCTCAAGTCCAAATGGTGAAAAAGGACATAAAC